GCAGAGTGACGCTGCTGCTCTGCATGGCTGGGAACACCAGTGGGTGACTGCTCATGCTGCTAAAGAGGCCTGGTGGGTTGAGGGTTAGGAGTCAGCACTTGAAAACACAGGAGAACATTTGCCCCATTGCATTCTTAACTACGCTGTTCACCACTGCTAAACTTAGTGCATGCTTGAACTTGTCCATTCACCACTCCTGCAGAGCTGACAGCACAAACAAAATTAAATAGCAAAGGCCCTAAAAAACAATCATCACTGAGTTACACTGCACTGGACCACCAAAATTAGGGCTGTAGGTCTCCACTTGGGCAATTAACCCAGACTAACTAGTGGAGTGAATATACACAATTCCATCAGAATCACAGAATTCCCTCTTTGCTCTGCACAATTACTAGTTTTTGTACTACCATTTTTGTTTAATGTCATTTTCAATGCTCTGTTACTCCATTATAGCACTATAAACAATCGGGATGACCCTAGCAATAACAAATGAAGCTCTTGATGTTTTATCATCAGGATGAAAACAACTTACATGTCTTTCCTCTTCCTAATACAATTCTTGATAGTCTTTACGTTTTTGATGTCCTAACTGGCTGCTAGTGAGTTCCTCTTTCCGGGCCACTTTGAAGAAAACCTGCTTAGATCAGCAAACCACATAGGGCAGATAATATTTTGCTGATACACAGAGCCAGTGCTTGAGCACAGCCTTGTTTATTTGCCTTTCCAATATTGTGACATTTCAGACATCTCCTTGCAGCCAAACCGCCTGTCTGTGTCATTGTGTGGGGAGACTGAGACCTGCCTACCTAACATTCCTGCCGCGGCTCTGGGGATGCTGTTCGGCTCCTGCACAGCCAAACACAGCGTGGGATCGTGGCATGCTGCTAAATCCAGCTGCTGTGTTTCACCTTGCAGAAAGCTGCATTACACCTGCTGTGGAAAGGATCCTCCCCCAGCTCTGCACACAGACCCATGGAACAGAGGGTCTGCTCCCTCTGCTCAGATGCTGTCCTGTTCATGCTCTGTTCAGGCACCGAGTAGCACCCGCATGGAATCAGAGAACACTTGGAGTCATTGGATGAAATGCAGCAGATGACCACTGGTGACTGAAGCTGAGGCCAGGCACGGATCCTTGGTCCCATTTTCCCTGCCCACTTTGCTGGGGAGGGACTTTCTTAGCAGTGGGGCCAGCACCCAACTGGGGTCAAAATAGCTGTAAAAAGCCCAAGGTGACACTGGGCAACTGCAAGGGTGATGTGGGGAAAGGGGAAAGACACATCCTTCATACTTGCCAGCTGCACACTTTGTGGTTGTTTTCCAGCCCAGCATGGCCACTGGGAGGGTGAGAGCTGTCTGCACCTCCACACTTCTCCACCTTATGCTTTGGGCATTTATTTATGCACACACTCAGCTGCAAATCCCCATTCTGCTAACAGCCTTCAAAAGCACTTTCCAGCAAGAAAAACACGGATTTTACATCTGTAGATGTCTTTTACTGCACAGTGGAAATGCCAGGAGTTATCCCTGCTGTCCCAATAAAGTTGTCCTTTTCTCAGCTCCTTTGGGGAACAACAGCATCATTCCTGAACTATCACCTCAGGATGGGATTCTACAACCACCAGCAGCAATTCCATAATGATGGAAGACCTCAAACAGCATCCAGGGAATGTGCCCCAGTGAGCCACCAGCCTGTCACAAGGGTCAGCACTACTGACAGGTCATGTTCACATTATTCTCCTTACACTTCTCTGTTCTGCACTGCAGGCAAGTGCAAGAAAACGATATTCAAAATATTACATTAGGAGGTAGCTTTGACCCCACATGGTGCTCAGGTGCAAATGTCTCCCCAGGGTGAAAGACAACAGATAATTGGATTTGACAAGCAATTTATAGTAATGCTTTCATCTATGCAGAGTGAATTCAATCTTTTCAATCCTATTTACTGAAACACTGGCACCCACATGTATTCTGCTGCCATCATTTGACCCATGCTCAGGAGCAGATGTGACTTGGTTGCACAATTAAATGATGCAGCAATGCCCTAATTTAATTTAAAATCTGTGTTTACAGATATCCAGCCCCTACTGAAGCAGCACAGGGCTGACACCTGGCTTGTTGCTTTGGGTTCTGTTTGCTGTACTTCTTACACCTCATTGGGGCAAACAAATCCTATGGTATGAACAGCCATACTGCCCTATTACTAAACTCAAAAACAACCTGACTCCCAATTCAAGCATATGCACTGCTGAAATAGCACAGCCAAGCTCTCCTCGGATTTGAATCCTTGGGACAGAGCAGTCTCTTACCACCCGCAGTGCCTAATATAATTTGCAAAGAAGTATTTTTAAAAAATGCAGTTTCTACTAATGCTACAGCTCTCAAAACCACTGAGCTACTTCCCAGAGACAGCCGTTTGGGGAAGGGTGGGCTCTTGTTTAAAGCAACATGAAAATGGAGTAGTGAAATTAATTATCTGTATTCCTCCCTCCTTGCTCCTGGGCAACCCCTGGGTTTCCCCATGGGTCGTATCCAGTGTCACTGTCAATGCCAGCCACTGCAGCCCTGATTAAGTCATTACAAGTCAGCCCTTGTTCCTCCACTTCCAGTCAAGAGCAAATGAGACACATGCAGGCTTTGGAAGCCCTGAAGTGCAGCTCTGTCGTTGACACAGCAGGGCGAGTGGAGTTGGCAGAGACCTGTGGACTCCAGCTGTTTTGGACATGAGTGGTGCCCGTGAGTTGGCTGAGCATTACTCCCTGAGAATTTGCTTGGTTTTCTCCTAGAAGTGCCACATGGGAATAAGCAGGGACATTATCAAAGTAGACTGATTATGCTAAGACCACCTTACCATGCATGGCATCAGATTGCAAACCCCCCGTTCAACTAGTGCTAGGTTAGAAGTTTAAGCTTCCAGCAAAAAATCTGGACAGCCCAAGTCATCCCAAGATCTGGAGCCCATTTCTCTTTGACCAAGAATCTCTGCACATCAAGCCAGAGGTTTCCCAAAATGCAAGAGTTCCCCTTAGCATTCATTTGCTTTTCCAATGCTCTTTGCAGACTTCATAAGAGCTGGAAATAAAAATTTCTATTCAAGACCCAAAGCAGTTTCCTTTGCCTCATCTAAGAGATGTTACGGCATAATCAAAAATCCAGAAAGAATAACAGGAGGGGATAAGTAAAAAATTATCTTTGGGATAATTTTGGGAGTCTAAAAGCACGCTATGGCAGCCTGCGCACACAGGGCCTTGTCCCCATCTCACAGCTGGGAAACTGAGGCACAGATGGACAAGTGACATAGTACAGAGGCATGGCAGGACTGTGGAAATCTCAAGTGAAGACCTCAGTTTCTGTAACTCTGCCCCTCACACTGCAAGAGCTAAAGGGGCTGCTGCAGTGGGCTGTCACTGCTCAAGCAGTGTTGGCCCTGACAGAGATCCCTGGGAGGGAATAGGGTTAAAGAAGGGAATTTTGTTACTTTCTTGTCGTATTTTCTCGTGGGGGGAGAAGCGTCATGCAAGCAGGAGTTTTCCACTGGCTAGGCCCCCTTGCACTTATCAATGGGACCTTTCAGGACTCACTCCCTGATTGAGACATCATTTCCTGTCCAACACACTAACCCATTGATAACTCCACACTTGATGGGAACTTTTCAAGCCTACCAGGAAAGGCCGGGAGACCCAGAACAACATATACATGAAAACAGAACTGGGGCGAAAAGAGAAAGAAGAGAGGAAAAGAAAGAAACAGTTTTGGCCACAATTTGCATGCTGACAGCAAATGTTTGTGATCAGGGAGCTGGGCACCTTTAGCAGGTACAGCAGGCACAGAGAAGATGCTGACATACAGCAGTGGGACTGGCAGGCCTGGCACTTCAGCCCAGTTAGAAATGGAGATGGGCAAAAGAGGAAGCTTAAGAACATCCCTCTCTTATCCTCCTGCCAAACAGAAACTAGGACTGGCTGTAGAAATGGTCACATTTCACCCAAAAGGCCAGGAGGCCATAATGACTGACACAGCTTACAAAACAGCCTAGAGACTTCAGGTTTCCAAGTACCAGAAATGAAACATAAAGAGGAGTAAAGATGAAACTGGACCTCTTTAAGATACCCTTTTTTTTTTCCTAATTTATCATGCAAAAAGGCTCAGTGTTACTTTTCAGGACACAGCACAGTCAGCAACAACCTCAATACTGACTGTGAGGACTGATATTGCAACCTCAGCCCAGCTCCAAACACAACCACCAGTCCAAAAATCAACCTTTTCCCTGAAGTTCAAAAGTCTCTCAAGCCACAGCTTTTATTTCTACCCCCGCAATTAGTTTTGCTGCCTACAAAGCTACAATGATACAAAAATATCAGTGGACCTGGATTACTGGCAAACAACACCAACCCCAAAACTCCCCCTATCCATGCAGGTGCCTGGGAGCACTACCAGAAATGAAGCAGCTGATTCCTGGTTTCAGACTTTGGTCAGCAGCTACCCAGCAAGAAAGCTTTTGATGGAATCTAAACATACAGGCACAGAATAGAGAAAAGAAGCTTTACAAAACAGCAGGAGCCAGGACACTGGCTGGCTGGGTAGATGGTTAGGAAGAGAGATTGGCAAGTTTTCACTGCAATCTCCATTACTGAGCTGCTCTGGGAGTGTGCAAAAGCTCTGTTGTTTTCAGTTACTTGGTTAAGTAGTTTCTGGGGGCCCAGAATGTAGTGCTCTCTCTGTTTTAAGTGCATCTGAAGTATTTAAAATTAGATCCCCTCTTTAATAAGAACCATTCATGAAAATGTCAGCTTTAAACGTCTTTACAGTGCAAGTTACTCACTGTGAGCATACCACCCACTTATCTTATACCCTACAAGGGCAGACTGAAAAGTTTCAAGATCATGACATGTAACAGACCAAACAAGCACAAAGCCTTATTTAAAGGCACGATTAACCCAGCTGGAAACATGACTAGAAGCATAAGTAGAAATAATATTTTATGTCAGACAGGACAGACTTACCTGCAGGTCGAAGAACTTGCTGTATCTCCGGTAGATTATCTGGGAAGTCAGGTCAGACCATGTTACATTGATGATATAGACCTGTTCAGGGAAAAGAAAACACAAATCAGCCTGGGCCACAGATACATGCAAAGGCAGAACAGTCAACATGGGTAAATTTGAGATCTCACTGGCTGTTCCCCATCACAGTGAGGGATGTAGCCCTGCAAGCAGGACTAGCCTAAATTGAAGCCTGTTGCAGCCTTCAACAGAAATCTTGGGGGAGTACTGAGTGCTCCCATCAGCTTTCCTCTGCTTGGGATAAAAGCTCTAACTGAGCAATGACACATTTCCTGGTCTGTGGTAGCACACCCTACCTTCTATCCTCTTTGGAGGGTCCCCGGGCCAGCTACAGGCATGGCTGGGAGAGTTATGCCACCCCTGAAGCAACAGCTCATCATGGGGTGCTGATCTCCAACCCCACACTCCAGGTTGTCTTTGTATATGGAGATGTGGCTGTCGCCCTTCCCAAGCAAGCAGTGGCTCTGGTCCAACAGGAAAGTCAAAGGAAACGCAGCTCCACAGGTGGTGTGGAATGACAGCCATGCAGCACAGTTACTAACTCACACCCATACGTGTGTGACAGACACCAAACCCTGTCTGGGCTCACAGCTCTTGCTGAGTCACACCAGACCACTCAGCACCTTTGGCACTCGCTGGAAGGTGATGTAAATCCGGACAGTGAGAGCAACACTGCTTCCTTGCATTGATGGAAACAGCAATAGAACCTGGAATAAGCCCAGGATTTCCCTTGTCCAACCCTGGCCCATCCCCAAAATAATCCTCTTACAGAAACAACGTTTTGCAAGAAGCTGTCATAAAAAACGATTCACATACACACACACAAACTTGTACATATACATATAAATACACACACAAAACAGAAAAATATTTCTTCTTGACCCTGGTACCTCCAAAATATTCTTTTAAAAAGTTAAAAATGGGCCAGGTTCTTCTCTCTCAGGCCAGTGCTGGTCCTGCTGCCTTGATGACAGATCTGCAACAAGACTTCAGCAAACACAGGATGGAGCTATCAAGGGTGACCACACAAAATCAATATAATGAAAATCACAGCTAGGACAGCTCCTGGGCCTTTAAAGCAATTTCCAGGTTTCACATATGGGCTGAGATAACGATCTGGCAGAGGAAACAGGAAAGCATTCCTCCTCCCTCAGCCACACCACTGCAGCAGGAGCTCTCCCTTTTGCCATGGATGCAGAAGTGAAGCTCTGTCTCCAGCAACAGGGGATGGATAAGCATCACCCTCTTCTCCATCTCCCCAAAGACACCAGACCATCTTCCTAGCTACTGATTCAATTTTTTCTGTACTTTTACCAATAAGAAGTATTGCATGAAAATCCCTAAAGGGGTGTTGAATATTTGGTTTAACAACATTTTTCCAACAACCACCAACGGATTTTTTTCTTCTTCTTTCCTAGTAGGAGAGGTATCCTCCCAGAAACCACAGAGCTCCTGCAGCCATACTTTGCTCTCTGCTTGTTACACCCACATTCAGTCCCCAAAGCAGTCTGCCTCCCATCTCCTGCAGCCCAGTTTCACGGCATTCAATAACAGGAGATGCTGAGCACAGGCTGTTAAGGAGATCTGGAGCCTTTCTTATGATTGTATCACACATATCTGCTCTTCCCACCAGGGCAGAGACCATCAAGGCTGGCAAAGGGAAGACTGCCCAGGGGTAAGAGCCTGACTTAGCAAACCCAGTTATTCTGCTGTATCATAATTCATCCTGGAAAACCAAACCACCCGACCTCTTTCCTGCAATGCCCATATACAAAAGGGTGACATCAGCACTGCCCTGCTGCATGGAGAGTTAAGCTTGTGTAACATGAAGATTTCAGGTCCCCTTTAAAGATCTTACCCATGCAGTCAAGGCAGAGGAGTCAGAGCCTGGGAAGGAAGCTGCTGTTGCCAATTTTCAGGCCGGCCACACTACACTGAAGAACATTTTTCCATGTGTTTGTTGTGGGAAAAAAAAAAGTTTGTAGCTTCACTCTGAGCTAATTCACACACAAATATTTTTACTCATTCTCTATCCAACAGCTACTTTCAGATGGAAAACCCATTCGATTAAAACCAGATCTTGACAGATGGGAGCTGAATAGGATCCAAAAGAAACTTCAGATACTGTAATTCTGGCCCTGAGTTCTCACAAAGGGGATGAGACAGGAGGAGAAACATATTGCACATGTAAATAAAGACTATAAATTTTCTTTCATTATACATCTTTTCTTCAGAAACTAGATACAAAATACATATGCCACAGACATCCAGGCACTTTGAATATCATGGCACTTCAGGCTTCTCCATCCTACTTTTCAGAACCCACAAAAACTGTGAGTTTCAGAAATTTTTAACAGCCTACAAGTCTGCTTGATCAAAATCTAATCCAGGCAGAATTCAATCCTGCTTCAAGATTCCAATTAGGTGGTGCAGTAAGTGGCACAACACCTCCATGATGCAAGAAGGGTCAGAGTTGGGTGCACAGGGATATTCTGGGCAAGAGGTCGGATTTATTTGGTGCAGGGAACAGGTGTAGGAGCAGCACCCGACTGCATGGTGCAGGTACATCCCCAGATCAGAAATTCAGGCTCTGTGGGAATGAAGCTGCCACTGGCTTCAGTCAAGCCAGGATTCTGCTGCACATTTAGGACAGCAATTAAATCTTTTTGAGCCCAAGGTCTCCTCAAGCTCAGTAGGTGATGGATGGGGCAGCACGTAGATACACTGACTTTTATTTCACGGAAAGATTACAGCAGAAGCAAGAAAAGCCTTTAACCATAATCTGCTGTTACTGAAGTGAGAAACCAGTGGGCTCAAAATCTGCTTGGTGGGAGGCAGGTGCAAAACCTAAAGCAGTTGTTGATCTTTTTTGCTTGCTTGCCCAAATCAAACTGCTTCCCAAAAGCCACCATTTAAAATAATGGGGTTTAGTTGAAAAAGATTTGTACAATGCCAGATTATAAATGCAAGGTCTAGAGGTTTCCAAAGCCTTAGATATCACATTTCTCTCCCTTAGAGATCTGAGTTTGGAAGTTGTTTGCTTCTGCCGCCCTGGTCAGATGCATAACCTTTTTGTGAGCAGCAAACTATACATCAGCTTACCTCACCCATTTTTTTATTTTTTTTTTCACTGATCTTAAAATGGGTTGTTGTGAAAGTGATCAACAATGTCCCAAGAGAGGGAGAAAAGCAGTCCTGGGGGAGCCCAGGGTCATGCAAATACAATGGGACAAGGAGGCAGCAGGAAATACTGGATAAATAGGGAGAGTCATCCCACGCTGGAACACCCAGCAGAGCCGGCATCGCTCTCGCAGCCGCCGGCAGAGCCAAGGGGAGCCTTTCTGTGGCATCCAGCAACTCCCCAAAACCGAGCAGCACAAGCCACCACTCCAGCATGCAGCTGGTCCTGCCTGTGAGAGAGTCCCAGCTCCTTGGCACATTCTGTCTTGATAAAAGAAGATAAAATCAAAGCACCTTACGTGTCTTGGAGCAAGCTCTTTCATGTAAGTACAGAACACACAACTAAACTGTAATTGAGATTCCAAATTACTACAGTAATTAATTACTAAAGGCAAAGAGACCTGCTTTATGTATCTGCCATGTTTCTAACCATAAAGGAGTCAAAACACAAACGCTATTCAAATGCGTCACCTTAAAAATCCTTAACAAAAGGTCCTTAACAATGAATGAAAATTGAAGTACAAATGACAAACAATTCACTGCACAATCACTGGGTGCTCCAGCCACTAAGAATGTTCACTTTTTAATTTCCCAAATCCACTGTTTTTTTATTGTTGTATTTTAAAATAAATCCTTTTTCAGAGAAACAAGAAGCAGGCCTTTAAAGAGTGTAGATTATAAATCAAGAACTGAGCTTGATAAGTAGCTCGTAATATTCATGGCTTATGATAGAAGATGCAGGGTGCCAGGGGGATTTTATCAGCTGCTAATTACTGTTATTTAATTCTAGCTCTGGGAAACTTCTGCTTTACCCACAACAGAGCAGAAAATTTATTGGAAACTGAAGTCATTGCTGTCCCTTTACTGCCTACACAAGCAATGAGGAGAGATGACTTCCTACTACAAAACACATCCACTCTAACGTCACTGGGCATGACCTTATCGTTGACTGTCTTGTTTTCAATGGAAAATATCCAGTTCCAGCCAGCACAAACCCCAGAGGTAACAAATTCAGGTTATTCTCATGTGACTTATTTTTCAATTGTTTTTTCAGAGGCTAATGTCTTCTTGTCTGCAGCAGATGAGCTAGAGTGGAAGACAAATGTCTGAAACTGGTGGTCTGATGAGACCAAGATAAGAACATACACAAATACAAGAGCTATTGGCAAAGGGAATATTGAAAAGCAGAAACCAGAAATATCCCTGTACACATAAGAGAGGGTGTTGTTAACCTCTAATAAGTAATTACAGTAAATACCAGCTATTAAGAAAGTACTGTGAATGCAAAAGACAACATTATGGTGCAGTTTGTATGCAGATACCATCACAATATCCCCTTTTATCCTGGAAAATGTCAGCTTCTTCAAAGACTCCTGTTAAAGTGTTGGATGTTTGTCCTCCTATGAATCAGGTTTGAGTTGGAAAAGATATACCTTGTCTCCTGTATTCAGATGCTATCACTGCCTGCGAGCTGGAAGCTTTCCACCAGCACAGCTCAGCATGTGTGTGCTCCCTGGTCCACCTCCATGCAAAGTCAACTCAGCTTCTGCAAGGCTTGCAGCAGTTTCAGCTGCTTCATTTACCTGGTGAAATTCGCATTAAAACAACTTGAACTGCAGCAAAGTCAACATACACCAGTGCCCGAAATTACCAGAACACAGCCACTGCACCAACTCACTGTTTGCATAACCATTTTAACGTCAAAGATGTGCTGATGAGCACAAATTTGTGCTGGCCCAGATCCAGATTTGAAGTGAGATCAGCCTAGAGACAGCAATTTTGGTAGCCACAAGATGAAAGCAACAAAGCTGTTCAGCTTCCTGATGTGGTTTGGTTGATTTTAGTATCTTCTTCTACCCTGTAAGACACTGGCACCAGCAGCTGGGGTTTCCCCAGGATGAGGGACCCTAATGTCCTCAATTTCTGCCCTACACAAGAGCCAGTGTGGCAACAGGCAACAGGAAGAGTGGAATGCTCCAGGAATAAGCACAGAGAATGTAAGCCCTTCTTGAACACACATCACCTGTGCCTTCACTTGGCTTGGATCACATCTGACTCTGGATTCAGCGAGCACAGCATGGGCTTCTTGCCCAGCTCACTGGATTGCAAAAGGCCCTAAAAAGCACTGTGAGACCTGAGAAATTCCCACAGAGATGAAGTCAGACCCTCAGCCCCAAGCCAGTGGTAAGTCCATCACTGGTGCCATGCAATGAGGTCACCTTTCAGCACGACGGTCTCCGAGGTACCGCAGCTCAGCTGGGGCAGGGCCGAGGAAGAGCTATTTTCAAACCCACACCAGAGCTGTTCTCACTCCAGGATTTTGAAGACTGAGCTGAGAAACAGAGATGAGACTTGGAAGAAATATGAGACCCAGAGAGCCCCGACAGGAAAGGTCCTTGCAGGGTGGTTGCTGCCAGGGCAGATGTCTCAGAGCAGTCCCAAGGAGGGGGTGACGCAGGCTGCGCACAGGTGTGGGGCGTCTGGCTTTCTCATGCACCAGATGTGG